AAACAAACCAAAAACCCATCAATAGAAGACTGCATTAGAGGGCTGGCCTTGTGGCTCAGAAATAACAATGCTTGACTGTCATGCATGAGGTCCTGGGTTTCATTCCTAGCACTGCACAAACACAAAACAAAAACAAATAAGGAAGAAGAAATCAGTAAGTAGTGCTATAAGATTATAAGACAGGATAATGTGGAAAGTAGCAGGGAACTACCTTTAGATACAGTAGTCAGCTCTGGGCATGGGGCACACAACTGTAATCTCAGTAACTCAGGAGGCTGAGGCAGGAGAATCACAAGTTTGACGAGGCCAGCCTAGACATCTCAGTAAGACCCTGTCTCAAAATAAATAGTTAAAAAAAAAAGTTGGTGATGTAGCTCAATGCCCCTGGGTTCAATCCCCAGTACCAACAAAAAAAAACCCAAACACCCCAAAATAAATAACAACAACAACAAAAACAAAAACAACAAACAAAACAAAACAAAACCAAAAAGCCACCAAGAGCTCAAGGCTTCTTCTTATTTTATTTTTATTTATTTGTTTTTGGGGCTGGGGATGGAATCTACAGCTTCGTACATGCTAGGCAAGTGCTCTACCATTGAGCCACATACATCCCTAGTCCTAAATGAAAGTTAGAAAGCAAAGCATTCCACATGAAGCAAACAGCTGAGGCAAAGGTGGGGAAGAAGGATCAAGCTGGAGGTATTGAAGAACAGTGAGGCTGCAACAGAGAGCAGGCAGGGAGGGGATTGGGTTTATGTTTTAAAAGTTCATTGTGGCTCCTGTGTTTAGGCCAGAGAGCAAAAAATGAGGATACCAGTTAGGAGGCAGTTTCAGCCATGTTGAAGAAAAGATGGTGGCAGCAGAATTCTAAGGGGGGTGGGAGAACCAAAAGCTCTATTTTGAATCTACTAAGTGAAAGCCTTTTAGAATTGTAAGTGGCAGCTGGATACATGAGTCCAGATTTCAGAGGCAAGGTCAGAACTAGAGAGAGAAAACTGGGAGTTTTTAAATGCATGAAGACAACATTTAAAGCCACAAAACTGGAAGAGAAACCTTAACTTACATATTTGAATAGATTTCATAGAATGTTGTCACATAGATCAGAATATGTGGGCAACCGGAAGAGATACCATATTATGCGTCTCCCTAAGACCCTGTTAAGATATACATGTCCTATTCAATAAATGCAATGTATCTTCCATAATGAATTCCAGAAGAAGCAATCTCCTGCTTCCATGTGCAAAACCTCCAGATTATCTTCTGAACCTCTGTGGATTCAGTTCCCTACTGATCTATTTCACAATATTCTATGGAATACCTTATTTATTAAAATACTCTTTTTTTTTCAACTGGGGATTGAACTACCACTGAGTTGGTTGGCACTCTTCCATTGAGCTACATCCCCAGTCTTTTCCCCCCATTTTTATACAGGTCTTACTAAATTACTGAGAGTCTCATTATTATGTTGTCCAGGCTGGCCTCAAATTTGTAATCCTCCTGCCTCAGCCTCCCAAATTGCTGGGATTATAGGTATGTACCATTATTCCGATTCAAATCCTCTTTCTTTTTTTTTTTTTGTATAGATGGACACAACACAATGCCTTTATTTTTTATATGGTGCTGAGGATCGAACTCGGGTCCCGCCCATGCTGGGGGAGCGCTCTACCACTGAGCCACAATCCCAGCCCTTTCTTTCTTTCTTGTTGTGTGTATGTGTGCTACTGAGGCTTGAACCCAGGACTTTGCCCATACTAGCAAGCTTTCTACTACTGAGCTACATAACCCTAACTCCTTTATTGCAATTTTGAAAGTATCTCCCTTTGAGCGCTGTGAAACCTGGTTTTCCCCTAATGATGTGACTGCTCTTTGGCAAAAACTGCTCTTTCTCTGACCCCAGAACTAGGAGAAGTGGGGCAGAGGAGACAGGTCTGTGTCCTCTGATCTCTCCTCTGCTTATGCTTTTGCTACCTTGTTCTCCTCTTGAAGCCCATGCCTTTACATTTGCCACGTTCTTCCTGTTGTCACAGTACCACCTTCTCCATCAACATCTTTACTGTTCTCTTAACTTGTCCATCTAGCTCAGTTTTTCTCTCATCTTCTACCACAGTCTTCAGTGACTTCAAAACCACACAAATCAGGCTGAGGTTGTAGCTCAGTGGTAGAGCACTTGCCTTGCACACGTGAGGCCCTAGGTTTCATCCTCAGTACCACATAAAAATAAATAAAAATATTGGGGCTGGGGTTGTGGCTCAGTGGTAGAGCGCTTGCCTAGCACGTGCGAGGCCCTGGGTTCTATCCTCAATACCACATAAAAGTAAATAAAATAAAGTATTGTGTCCAACTAAAAAATAAATATTAAAAAAATATTGTGTCCATCTACAACTAAAAATATGTGAAACCACACACAAATCAAAAAATAATATAAAACCAAACAACCTTCCCAACACACAAATCCAGTGAATTGTATGCTCTAGCCACCCAGTTGTTCAACTTCCTCAATTATGACAGCTTTACCATTTGTTTTTCTGCTTCACTTTAACCATCCCTGAAAAGGGTTGCACTTCCAACCTCATCATCACTCGGATGATCTACCTTTCAGAACCTTGAACTCCAAATTCTTCTCATCACAACTGCTCACTTTTCCCATCCCTTCACCCACTCCATTAAATTCATTCTTCATTCTCATCCAGACCTCCAGCTTCTCTTCTTCCTTGTTGATTTTGTTCAACACATATTTCAGGGTCAGTAGTTCTAACTGCACTCTCATTGGTGGTTTAGAATTTCTTACCTACCTGCTATTCTACCAAAAAGGCCTTGAAAAACTTGAGAAAACCCAAAGTTCTCATTTATGGGTCTTTCTTCTTGGCTGCCAAGAATTCCAGGAGAATTGTGTTACCATAAGGGGCTGCATTCCCAATGCTTTTTATTTTTCATTTTGAGACAGGATCTTGCTAGGTTGCCTAGGGCCTTGCTAAATTGATGAAGCTGGTCTTGAACTTTGGATCCTCCTGCCTCAACCCCCAAAATCTCTGGGATTACAGGAGTGTGCCACTGCACCCAGTTTATCTATACTCCTTATCCTACTTCCTCTTCTCACATTTCTTATATTTTCTGTACCTTTCTCTCTTCATGTGCTTTCTTTTTCTTTTATAAACATATTCAATTTTATTTCTTGAAAACAGACATAAAAACCCCTCCCTGGACTCTTTTTCCTTCAAATGTCCACTCCATTTCTCACCTTCCCTTTCTGTATGATGTCTCAAGACCCCTTGACTAACTGCTTTTTTCAGGAACTGGTAAAATTTTCCTCATCTGTTAAATTTGTGGGTAAAACTAAGAGATGATTCTTAGCTGTCTTCTGTATCTGCTCCTTGTGCCCCCTGCCTCCTTGGTCTCACCTCCCACTCATTCCTTACCGTATAATGATTTCTGCCACTCTACTAAATGGAAATTGTTTTCTCAAAATTGGTAATCATCTAGTTCCTGAACTCAAAAGACCTTTTCAACTCTTACCTACCAGACCTTGAGGCCCCAGATATAGCTGCCCAGTCTCTGCTTGTGCATCTCCCTTGCCCTACTTTTGGGGTTGCTCTCCTACTCCTCTCCTCTTTTGGTTCCTCTTCTTTGATCACCCTCTTGGCTCTTTGGCCACTGCACCCTCTCTCCTGAGGATCCTGTCCTTAAAGGTTCAACCTCTACTGGAAGAGAATGATGCCCAAACCTATCCCTCTAGCCCAAACTTTTGAGCGCTAGACCTGCTTGCTGGAAACTTCCACCTGAGTGTCATGCTGACCATCTCAAACTCAATAGGATTTCTTTGGGCACTTACTTTACTACTCTAAGCAGATGCATCTCCATTATTTTGTTATTATTATTATTATTATTATTATTTTTGGTAATGAGAAATTGAAACCAGGGCGCTTAACCATGGAGCCATATCCCCAGCAAACACCCCCCATCCTTCCTTTCTTAAATCTTTAGATGGGGTAAAGAAGTTGCAAAGGCTGGCCTTGAACTTTTGATCCTCCTCCCTCAGCCTTGAGTTGCTGGGTTACAGGCATGTGCCACTATGCCCAGCTGGCACTCCAAGTTGTTACTTGTGTATTGTTTGTCTCCCTTGAGCACAAGTTCTTTTCTTTTCTTTCTTTTTTTTTGGACAGGGTCTTGCCAAGTTGCCCAGGCTGGCCTTGAATTTACCATCCTCCTCCCTCAGCCTCTCAAATAGCTGGTATTACAGTAGTGTACCATTGGGCCTGGCTAGACTGCAAGTTCTTTGACAGTGATTTTTTCATTTATACACATTGTCTAGCAGTTTACTCCTAATAGGTGCTTAATAAAAATGTATTGATTGTCTGAAATTACACTCAGCCATGCTCTTGCTTTTTGGTTTAGGCCATCATTATCTTTTCAATCCCTCTGGCTCAAAAATTTAGAGTAAGATATCTAGGACTTCTTTCCCCATTCTCACCACCAATCAGCTTTCATGTCCTTTATTTATTTATTTATTCTAAAACCCAGGAGCATTCTACCATTGAGCTACATTCCAAGTCCTTTCTATTTTTTGAGACTGGGTATCACTAAGTTGTTCAGGCTGGACTGGAACTTGTGAACTTCCTGTCTCAGCCTCCAGAGTTGCTGGGATCATATGCATGTGCTACTATGTGCCTAGCCAGTTGTCATGTCTTAATATCCCCTCAACATTTATAAAACCTGTTCCATCTTTTAATGTCATTTGGACTTAAAAGAGAAAGAACACAAGTTTTGGAATCAGATGAGCTTAATGCTAATTCCACCACTTTTTAGTTGTGTAGCTTTGGACAGGTTTCGAAATTACTTATTGGCCTTAGTTTTTTTCATCTGCATAATGGATTCCATCATCTGCCTTTGGACAGATGGTGGTGGTGCAGGGGCAGGAAGGTATGTTTGATCCCTTTTCTTACCCTTCTTAAGGGGCATCACCCACACTCATATAAGACAGGAAAAAAAAAAAAAAGGACAGGTTAACAAGGGAAAAGCATAACAAATTTATTTAATCAAAATTTTACATGACACCAGTGACTTCAGAAATGAAGATGTAAATATCAGGAAAAACTGTCCATTTTTATGCTTGGAGTTGATGAAGAAAAATGAAGAGCGATGTAGAAATGTGACTGGGTAAAAAAGGGTATGACCTGATGGACACAGAGCAGGAAAACTCAGCAGGCCTGTTCAGCTTCTTGTTGGCCCGTGTGGTATTCCTGTTCTTGGGTTTGGGGCAGGAGCCCTCTGGAATGAGGGTCTCATGATTCACTGCCACAGGATTTCTTTATGGCCGGCTCTTACACAGAAAGGGTGTGTGTGTGTGTGTAGGCTTGAATAATATTTCTAAGTTTTTACAGCTGGCTTTGTGGAAGGATTCTAGTTTCTATGACCCATCTTAAAGGAGAGGAGTCTGGTTTTTATGACTCACTTTAGCAGTACGACAGGACAAGAGAAAGGCAGAGAGCCTGGCTTCTGAAGCCTGTTTCCTTCAGTTCAAAGCACTTATTCAGCATGCCAAAGCATCATTCTTTGGAGTATTGTGATCCGAGCCCCCAACAAGATTACTGATGGTAGGAAAAGGGCTGGTTAACACCTTGCCAGTATTCAAAAAGACAGTGATTTCCTTTTTACTATTGTGTGCACTTCCACAGCGCTGTCCTGATCCCCCTCTTCACAGCAGTTCTCATAAAGCCCAAATTCCTAACCTTGGCCTTCTGTGGCCCTTTCTTTACCACGTGCTTCCTCATATGCTGCTTCTACCTCAGGACACTCATCTTGTCCTGCACATACCAGGCTTTCTGACTTCCCAGTCTCTGGTCAAGCTACTTTGTTTGCCTCTGAAGCCTTTCCATAGCTCTTCACCCACTGAAACCCCATCTATTCTCTGGGGCCTACTCAGATGTGCTCTCCATCTTGTGTTTCCCTTTTCTATATCCAATGTGCCCTATTGTAAAGTTTACTTGGCCTGCCTTCAACCAGTCAATTAATATGGGTCTGTCCCCCTATGGGACTTCAAACTTGAAGTAGAGTTTGTATTTCTTTGGGATACATCATGCTCAGCTGATCTGCACTGAACAGAATACTTTCCATATCCTTTTCCTAACATAACCCAAACATATCCTCACCCCAATCCACAGACCGACCCTCTTGAATCTCACTAGTCTCATTCTCAACCCCATTTCTCAAACTGAAACCTAATGCATCTTCCACTGATACCAACTCCTAGTTCCAGCTTGAGAGCAGGGATACACAATCTTGCATCTCCCCAGTGTTTCTCAGTAGGCACTGAGTCACCCCTGGGGGAATCCCTGTGGCCCCTCCCAGCCCCCCACAGTGGTGGACAGGATGCCTGCTACCTGGCACCAGGGGGTCAGAGGAAGCCAGGGCCTCTAGGGCTCAGTATTTTTATCAGCCTAGGAAACAAGAGACATAGAAACGGAAATCATGTGGTCAGAGAAAGTGAACAGCCCTCATCTCAGGGGAACCCCCATCAGGGCTGGGGGCCAGACACCAGGGAGGGATGCTGAAAAGAGGGAGGTCTGGGGATCCTTGTGTCAGGGGTTATCTTGCTTTGGTTTTATATAACTCTTTCAGAGAAGATGATGATGTTCTTAAAAATTAGAGATATCTGAATAGAAAAACAAATGTGGACACCAAAGTTCTCTCTCAATTGCCAGCTCAGGGACCCTAACCTCAACTCCCCCCAACTACAAACCTGGGCTCTTTGCATGCCACTTCCGAAATCTCCGGTCTGTGAGAGGAACCGGACGCCTGGGTTGCTCACAGTTCGAAGTCTCTTCTCTGAATCACAGCAGCTTCCTCTCACAGGATCTTTCTCACCAGCCTCTTCCCCTCCTGTCCCAGGACACTGGCCTGGTTCTCTAAAGCCTTGGGCCTCTTCCTAACTTCAGGTTTTCTATCTTCTCCAGGGTCTCAGGCCCATCCCATGTCCCCAGTGTCTTCCTCTCCCTATCCTTTACCACTCTCCACTTGCATTCCTAGGATCTCTTGTGTAGACCTGGGCTTGGGCTTGAGTCCTGATGATTAAGTTTTTGACTGGAAAGATTTTCATGTGGACATGCACATACCAGTGCACATCTGTACTTTTTCCTTTCAGTCCTGCCCTTTCTTTCTTCAAGTTCCCAGTTGTGTTCTGGGCGACGGCAGTTGGGTTAGGCCTACACTTCCTTATTTCCAGGAAGTTGGAGTAGGAGCCAAGTTCGAACAGTGGGAGAGATGGAGCCCCCTCTCTTTGTGGGAATCCTGAGTTCTCTTCCTCCATTCCTCAGAACCTCAACTATGAATTTTTGCAAAAAGAGATGCTTATGTGACAGACCAAGCCTGGGTTGCCCAGAGATAAGACTGGGTTTGGGATGGGGCAGAAGTTGGATGGAAGAGGGCTCCACAGGAGGGACGGGACTAAGAGGCTTGAGGGCAAAGCTAGCTGGGAGCTCAATAGCCCATCCAGCCATAGGGGTGGATCTCTGGTTGCCCAAGAACAGACAACCCAGGTTACATAATTTGGCTCTTTCCGTCTCCTTCCGCCGCATCTAATTTTAGCAACCGAAATTCCCTCCCCCACAGGGCTTTTCCTCCATCCATCCTGCTTCTCTCTTCCACCTTCGGTCTCCTCATGGTCCCCAGCCCTAGCTGCCCCCTACTCGCTCTTTCAGTGACTCAGCAAAGGGAAAGCCCTGTGTTAGGGGGAGGGGGTGTCAAGTGGGGAGAAGGATGTGGTTCTGCTTGGTTAGCTGGGGGTGGTGGTGGTGGAGGGAAACTGGTTTTGTTCCCTTTTTTGGCCTATGTTCACATCTGTTTCTCCAGCCACAGAATGCAGAGTGGACAGAACCCCTGTGTAGGGAGCAGAGTGATGAGGCTGGGGTAAACTAGGCTTTCTGAGGGCTGACCTCGAGAGTAGGCAAGCAGAGGGCTTCTGGTCTCCAGCTGATGGCACATATCAGTGCGTGCGTGCTTGTTGCAGTTGTGTAGGAGCTGTGGGTTTCGGCTGGCGGGTGGGAAAGGAGATGTCATGGGTGATGAAAACCATACTGATGGAAAAAGGCAGAGGAGACTCTGGGAGTGAGACGTGGAACCAGGTCTTATTAGGAAATGGCAGAGTCAAGAGCAGCGGTAGAGGCCCATTTGCCACCACCCCCGCTAGTTACAAGTTTCGCACCCACCCATATCCTCTCCACGTGGCATGTGCCTCTTCCTTTTGCGTCCCCATTCCTGACCTTACCCTTCCTCCTGCCCACCCCTGAGCCTGCATCCCCACAGTTTCTTGTTCTTTCACTAGAGTTACTTGAGGGCTTCTGCATGGCGATTGAGGGCCTGAGAAAGGGCTGTCACAGCTCCCATTACACGACCCAGCTCCCAGGTCTCAATCTGGCTCCGGAATCGCTGCAGGAATCGGTCAGGGTGCCAGCGAACCTGCTGAACCCTCAAGTACCTTCTTAGAGCTCCCTGTTCCTCCAATGGGGGGCCCCTGGCCACCAGGGCTGCAGCCATGGCCTCCGGGTCCCCTCCCCCAGGGCAGGGCCAGGGCACATCGCCAAAGCGCCAGAGGCTGCCCCTTCCCACCCCTCTGGGCTGCTCTGCCCTGGGCCCAGCCCTGGCTGGCTCAGGCCCTTGGTCCCCTTGAGCCTCCTGGGCCCTCCTGGCTCGGCTCTCACGCAGTTCTTCTTCCTTGGCTCGGGCTCGCTCTCTGAAGAGACGCTGTTCTTCCTCCTGTTGTCGCCAGCTGTGACTGGAAGTCTCAGCTCTTGGGGGTCGGCAGGATCCCTCTGCTTCCCGATGCTGCTGTTGGCGCTTCTGGGCATGTTCCCGGGCCAGGCGATCTGACCAGGCTGAGAAGGACTCGGGTTCCTGGGTCTCACGGGAAGCATCATCTGGTTGGGAAGGGAGATGGGATAGTTGAAGAAAGGCTGTGAGAAGATGATGGGGCAGGAGAGGCAAGGAAGTATGGTGGGGATGGGGGGGGGGGGGGCAGGCAGAGGAAACCAGGGTGAAGTGTTCATGCAGGGGGACTGGAAAAATGACTGATGGGGGAAGAGTAACTGTGGAAGGCGATAAATTCCTCACCTTCAAACCTCCCAATGACCTCCTGCCACTCATCCTCCAGCTCGCCTTGCAGCTTCTGCCTCCATTCCCGCTCTTTGGAAGCCTCATCTTCTTCCTCCTCTTCAGCAGAATCCCATGGGGGGCCCCAACCCAGAATTTGCCCAGGAGTCTCCCCATCCTTATTCTTTATTCCCATGGCAGAGGGACAGCGACTCAGCAGTGGTAGGAAGAAATCTGTATAAGCTATGGGTGGGGGAAAAAACAGCAGAAATTAGCAGGGACTCCAAACCTCAGCAGGACCTCCATCTTGGAATTATGCTAGTCACTCATACTCCCTTGGTTTAGCACAACAGAAAGGATGGTCCATCTGGATGCCTCTTGAGTATTAGGAAGAAAACATCCCTGACAAATATTCACTGTTAGTGTACATGCACTATAAGACTGATAGTTTAAAATGCTCTGACCTGGGTTCCCACAAACTATTTTGGTGGGCTCAGAGTTCTACTGTGTCAAATGACATTTAAAAAAAAAAATTTTTTTTTGTAGTTGTAGATGGACAGAATGCCTTTATTTTGTTTATTTTTATGTGGTACTAAGGATCGAACCCAGTGCCTCAGGCATGCTAGGCAAGTGCTCTACACTGAGCTACAGCCCTAGCCCATCAAATGACATTTTTGGGATCTGTCTCTAGCTAGGGTTACATCAAAGTCCTTTCACTGTACTTTTACTTTTGGCTTGAAAATGCTGTCACTACATATCCCCTGTTGTGTTTCTCACCCCAAATTATAGATCAGACTGGCAAAATATCTGAAAGCCCTATTCTGTACCACTATAAATACACAACTATATTTCACATCACTTTTTTGTTATTAAAGCAAGTTTATTTATTTATTTATTTTGCAGTTGTGGGGATTGAACCCAGGGCCTCTCACATGCTAGGTAAGCACCCTACTACTGAGCTACATCCCCAGTCCCTCATATCACTTTTTAATATGAATAAAATACATGTTTTCAGGGTAATTTCTTTCAGCTAGCCTTCCCCAAGAGACAACAGAAATGAAGCAAAGGCCAGCAATGAGCTGATCCACATAAATGTGTTCAGGAGCCAGGCAGATGGCACATACCTGTAATCCTAGCCACTCAAGAGGCTAAGGTAGGAGAAGCACAAGTTTGAGGCCAGTCTGGGCAACTTAGCAAGATCTTATCTCAAAATAAAAATAAAAAAGCTGGAGATGTAACTCAGTGGTAGTAGAGTGCTTGCCTAACATGTGTAAAGCCCTGGGTTCAACTGGAAAAAACAAGCTCTTTCCAAATGACTACTCACCTAAGGCAGTGTAAGGGGCCTAAGACACAGAGCCTCTCTCAGGAGCTGGTAGGAAGTAGAACAGGGACTGACATTCCCAAGCATCCCTTTCCCTGAACCTTGACCTCACTACCTAAGTTCCAGGGCAAGTAGAGTGCAGTGCTGCTTGTTTCACTCCAACCCAGGCACCCTATTCTGGGACAAGCTCACCTTCTGTGGCCACCAACCACCTCTTTCGCTCAGAGGACAAAGGGAGGTAAGTGAGACAGCCTCCCTTCCTGTGAACCTACTTTTTCCTAGGGTAGGAGAAATGGGTCGGCAGGCCTTACATCTTTATTTGGTGGTGCTAGAAAGCACTGCTTTCCTGGCAGAAGGATGGCACAGGGAAAGGATTGACCTGTCACTACCAGAAAGGCAAGGAAACAAATGGGTCCATCTTTGGTTAGCTAAGGCCCCCAAACTACTCAAACTATATCAGGGCGAGGGGAATGGGCACTTCTCCTTAGTATTGCTGCTGTGACCTGTCACAAGCCCTCTTGACTTCCCACCCAGCAAGTACTTGGTCCTGTCTCTCAACTGCTTATTCCCACCAGGGCTCACTGCAGGGATGTGTGTGTGTGTTCCTTAGATTTGCACTTTTTTTTTTTTTTAATTCATAGATTTTTTTCTTCTTCTTCTTTTTTTTAATGGTACCAGGGATTGAACTCAGGGGCATTCAACCACTGAGACACATCCCTGGCCCTATTTTGTATTTTATTTAGAAACAGGGTCTACTGAGTTGCTTAGTGCCATGCTGTTGCTGAGGCTGGCTTTGAACTCACGATCCTCCTGCCTCAGCCTCTTTAGCAGCTGGAATTACAGGAATGTGCCACTATACCTGGCTAATTCATAGATTTTTAAGGAGTAAGGCTTCCAATTAGAGAAACATGATCAGTAAAATATGCTACAGAATATCCTACAATCACTATAAATGATGTTTGTTTGTGAAAAGAGCTGGCTACAAAACTGCTTATGGGATCTGATAACTGTTAAAAATAGAGAGAAAGACACACACACACACACACACACATGAGAGAAAGAGAGAAAGAGGGGGGGGGGGAGACCCATCAAGTTGGGTGTATGCCTATAGTCCCAGCTACTCAGGAGGCTGGAACTAAGAAGGATCATTTAAGCCCAGAAAGACCAGCTTGGGTGACATAGTGAGAACCCATCTCTAAACAAACAATTTAAAAAAAGAAAGGAAAAAAAAAGAGAGACAAAAATCATATAATTGAAGAAAACAGACTGGAAAAAATAAGCAAAAATTCTCATCTCTGGATAGTAAGACTACTGGGTTTCCTTCCAATTTTATTTAATTGATATTTTAATGTGAAAGGGCTAAGACTAAATAGAAAATTTCTTTACTTTTTAAAGAAGGAATAAATAAGAGCTACTAACAGTTTATTGCTAAATTATAGCTATTAACAGTTTCCAGTCCTGTCTTGGTGTACATTAATGCATACATATGATAAATTTACTCAAAGATATGTGAGCCACACTATACATATTATTTGACAACTTTTTTTTTCATTTAACATCTCATTCATCTTTTTCCACAGAAATACAAAATCCACTTAATTCTTTTTGATGACTGTGTAGTTAGTGTTCCACTGTGTGTACAAAACAAACAAATCTCCTCACCCCTGACAGACTTTGTTTTCAAAACTATTGTTTTTATACATATATCTCTGGGGACTTGTTACAATATTTGCGTGGGATAGATTTTCAGAAGTGGAATTTCTGAGTCAGTCAAAAAAAATGTGCAAAACAAAAAAGAAAAGGAAAAAAAGCATATATGCAGTTCTGCTAAATTGTTTTCAATATTTGTTTGTGCCAAGAATACATAAATAAGCCTGTTTTCCTTTGCCAAAAATGTTATCATCTTTCCTTAAAATTTATTTTTAATTGGTGCATTACAGTTATACATAAAAGTGGAATTCATTGCCTCACACATGCTAGGTAGGCAAGTACTCTACCACTGAGCCACAATCCCAGCCCCCCAATTTTAATTTTTTATTTTCAGACAGGGTCTTGCCTTATTGCTGAGGCTGGCCTCAAACTTGCAATCCTCCTGCCTTAGCCTCCCAAGTCACTGGGATTACAGGCCTGCACTACTATGCCTGCTACATCATCATTTTATTTTTAAAGAAATAAAACTATCACAGATAAAGCTGACTTTCTTTGATACTGCCTTCTAAGTTTTATTTATGGGAAGGGGTTACAGAATCTATTTAATTATTTATTTTTAAATTTACACACACACACACACACACACACTTTAGTTGTTGACAGTTTTTAAGTTTTTTAAAAGCTTTTAAAATTTTTATTTATTATTTTTTAGTAGTAGTTGGACACGATAGCTTTATTTCACTTATTTATTTATATGTGGTGCGGAGGATAGAACCCAGGGTTTTGCAAATGCAAGGAGAGTGCTCTACTGCTGAGCCACAACCCCAGCCTCAAGTTGTTTTTTTTTTTTTTTTAATATTTTTATCTTTTAGTTGTAGTTGGACACAATACCTTTATTTTATTTATTTATGTGCGGTGCTGAGGATCGAACCCAGGGCCTCACATGTGCTAGGCAAGAGCTTTGCCACTGAGCCACAACCCCAGACCCAACCCCAAGTTTTTAAAAAAATTTTTTTTGTAGTTGTAGATGGGCAGAATGCCTTTCTTTATTTATATTTTTATATTTATTTTTTAGTTGTAGTTGGACACAATACCTTTATTTCACTTATTTATTTTTATGTGGTGCTGAGGATCGAACCTAGTGTCTCACGCATGCTAGGCAAGCACTCTGCCTCTGAGCTATAGCCCCAGCCCGATAGACCTTTATTTTATTTATTTATATGTAGTGCTGAGAATTGAACCAAGTGCCTCACACATGCTAGGCAAGCACTCTACCACTGAGCTACAACTGCAGCCCTAGAATTTACTTTTATAAGAAACAAAGTCTCACTATACTGCCTAGGCTGGCCCCAAATTCTTGGGTTCAAATGATCCTCCAAGTAGCTAGTACTGTAGAGGATCACCACATACTTAGCTCTGGAATTTCAAGTTAGGTGTGAGGTAGGACTCTTTTTTTCTCTAGATAAGCCAAATGTTTCAACATCATTTATTAAACATTTTATATTCTTCTAGCATTTGAAATGCCACCTTTATCATCAATTTATCAGTATAGATCAATGTTTCCCAGTGTTCATTAATTAATATGTTGTACATCCATACTAGGAAAAATAAACATGAAAACTTTTGTGGAATAAAAAATTTACTTTGTCTTAGTGATGGAGGCACTTGCTCCTTCCTTATCCATAAAAAGGCATGATTTCTACCTTACAGGTACAGACATACTAAATGGTAAAAAGAATGTTTTTCTTTTTTGTGGTGCTGGGGATCAAACCAAGGTTCTTGCACATACTATCAATGAGCCACACCCCAGCCCTGAACACAATTTCTAAAAATGCAAGTATCACAGATGGGCAGAGTAGTGTATGCTTATTATCCCAACTTTTTGGGAGACGAAGGTGGGAGGATCATTTAAGCCCAGAAGCTCAAGACCAGCCTATTTAAAAAGACAAAAAAGTAGTATCAAAATTTTATACTGAGTGAAGATTAACTGAGGCCCAGAGGAGGAAAAGGTAAAAGTCGGTGAGGTAGTCAGAGAGGGCTTCAAGAAGGAGGTGGGGCTTGAGCTGGTAAGGGAGGATAACGCTTAGCAAAGTGGAAATTAGGAAAGCAACATTTAAGAGACAAACAGATTTGTGAAAGATGTGTTTAGGGTCATTGAACACAGAGCCACATAGCTGGAGTCATGGGTCTGTGGCTAGGCAGCAAGAGGTAAGGCTGGAAAGGCAAGTGGAACATAAACCGGATGCTCAGTCATTGTAAAATGGGGTCAAAGCTTGTTTCTACTGCACAGATCAAAGTGAGTAATTGATGTTGAATGTCTGGTACTATGTTAGTACAGAGCAGAAGTGCAGTGAATGTTATATTTAAAAAAGAAGAAACAGACTGGCTTTGAGTTTTATTCATTTTGTAAAAGACTGAGAAAATGACCCCCTGCTTCTCAGTGTTCACTAATTCTTGTTCTATGTAAAGGATGGTTATTGTTTCATTAAGGTGTGTTTACTTAGGGGGTAATCTGGCAGCTAAGACCACTTTCCCATTAAGTGACGGGTTCTAAAAGAAGTCATCCAAAGCCTAAAAGGTAGGAGCCCTTCACTTGCATCTTACTGGGTATAACTCAGCCAGCTGTTCCAGCATGAACTGGAGCATCCCTCAGACTTAACATGGGAATTAGGGAAAAAAAATCCTGGCAGGGGATTATGGGCCATTTAATCTGTTCAAAGAAGATCCTTTCATTTTACTAAGGCAGGTGGTTTCTAAAGTAGTTGGCTGAATGAGAAGGGCTTTCTAACACAGGTATTAGAAGGCCACCTCGTGGCAGAGCTGGCAAGGGACTGGGGGAAATAAATCCTGAGAGGATACCAAGTTACAGGAGTGAATCCAATCACCTCACAGCTATGAGATTTCAGGCTAGTTCCTAACCTCTGGGCCCCCCTTTCCTCATCTGTAAATTGTATAATATCAATCTTACATGCTTCTTAGAATTCAGTATAATGAAGGAAATGTCTACCACATCATTACAGACATTTTTATTACTCAAAAAGCCTTAATGAATTATATAAAAACAACATACATATCATTTAGGGGGTGTCAAAACTGCACCAAATGTTTGGCTCACTTACTCATCACAATTCCCATTTTAGAGAGGCAAATTAGGCTCAGAGGTTATGTTGCACGTCTCTGTCCTCCGTAGAGCTGAGATCTATCTGGAAGCAGCTCTGCCTTGTGGTAGTCTGCTTTGTTGCCTTCCAAAGCCCTGCCTGTTACAATATCAGCCAGCCAGTTAGATACCTGTACTTGGTAAGCCTCCCCTCTTTGTTTTTAAGTTAAAAACAAACAAACAAAACAAAAACAAAACAAAACATAATAACCAAGTCGGTTCGGAAGCACATGCCTATAATCCTAGCTACTTGGGAGGCTGAGGCAGGAGGATCATGAGTTCAAGGCCAGCCTGGACAATTACAGTAAGATTGTTTCAAAATAAAAGCTGGGGATATAGATCAGTGGCAAAGTGCCCCTGTTCAATCCCCAGTACCAAAAATAAAATAAAATAAAAAATTAAAATATACCAGCTATCTCACTTGATATACTGAGAGGATACCAAGTTATGGGAGTGAAAGCAACTTATGTTAAGCAGAATTAAAGGGGATTTAAGACCGTATGGGAGAAGAAGGGGTTCCTGTACATACCTGGAAACCCGAGGATGGAAAAATAGCAAATCAAATTAAATTAGCATTGTTCATCTGAACATAGAGGCTTTCCTCTTACTCTAGAAGGAAATCTCTAGATGTAGAAAGGGGTTTCACCTTTGATTTTGGTAAGCTATATTGCTACAGAGCTGTTACCACTGCAACTGCAATATAAACAGGTTCCACATCTGTATCTCAGGATCAAAGGTTTTTCAAAACTCAGATGTTTTGAGATTTGATAGAACTGATCTCAAAATACATATATTGTAGATTAGGTATCCCAGGGGAGTCTGGGCAGCCCTAGTAACCAAACACATCAATGTTTCTGGTATGAAATCTCTGAATATTGACATCAGTGGGATAAAAAAAATCAGAGATAGCCTCACTTTAGTTCGGATTAGGTTTTTGTCACCAAATGAGTTTTGGTGGCAAACTGATAAAAACTTGTTCCCAGAGTGTTTCTGAGGTTCAGAATTGTGTGTAAGGGAGTACGTACTTGTTGATAACAATAGGAACAACCACTACCAGGATCTATCAAGTGCTTATCATGTACCAGGCATTCTAATTATGCATTATGTTGATTGATTCTCAAAATATACGTCACAGCCTGAATATGAATGTGGGCGCAATCACTATATAATTCCATAATGTACAACACAAGACACTACATAATTAGGCTGCTTGGATTACAATCCCTGTTCTACAAGTGAATAGCTGTTTAAGTCTGGAAAATGATTTAACTTCTCTGTGCCTAGTTTCTTCATCAGGAAAGTGGGGTAAAATATCCATACTTATTACCTTGTAGAGTTATTGTGAGGATTAAATCAGTTACTTTATGAGAAATATAGGGTACACAGTAAAGGTTGTTATTTTAATTCTGCTCATTGGCAAACTAAGCCTCAGGACAATTTAATAACTGAATACACAGCTATTAAGTGTGCAGCTGGGGATTTGAACTCAGGCAATCCAACTTCAAAGCCTACCTTCTATTCTATTTTTGTGCTAAACACAACCAGTCAAGAAACAAAGTAGCTACTAAACGGCAAAGATGTGAAATTGGAAGAGTAGTTCCTGTTTTGGGAATGCCAGGCTCTTTAGACAATGGTATTTCAGTAATGTAAAGGCACAAACCATCGCCACACGCCAACCTTGTCAGTTGCCTCCCTAGGTTCAACTGACCAAATAACTAACTAGCTTGCTTCCCAGCTACTAGTTGGCCTTCACTTCTGATGACCATCACTCATGACCTTGTTCCCCACGAGGCTGACTCACCATCGGGGCCCTGGCGGGCAGCAGCGTGCAGCGCTGTGTCCCCATGGCGGTCCTGGTGGGCAGGGTCAGCCCCAAGGCGAAGCAGCAGGCACAAGGCAGGAGCATCATGGCGGGCACAGGCCCGATGCAGTGGTGGGGGCTGCCCAGCATCCACATCAAGGCCTGGGTGTCGCTGGAGAAGGGCCTGGGCCCGGACCAGCCGTCCTGCAGACAAGTAACGACGGAAGCGACGCTCTCTGCGTTGACGGCGGGAAGTGGAGGCCATGGAACTCTTGGGCTGAGAAAGAAGGGAAGAAAGGCAGCAGTCAGGACTCCAGCCTTGGCTGGTCCCTCCCCCTCCATCTCAGACATTCCCTCGTTTCTCCTTTTAGTTCCCTGTTTCTTTTCACAACTCCAGTAAAAAATGAGGCCTATTGTATTCTTATCCTTTACCAGATTATAGGTTCGAAAAAAATTTTTGAGTGGGGTTAGGGTCACAGATTTAATTTTTTAACGTAAAATTTGAGAAAAAGATGCATAATTGCTTTAAGGTTCAAAAGCCCAGGTAAATTTAAAATTTGTTTATAATTGATTTTGAAAAAAACGAATAGGGCCTGATGGTGGAAATTTTAGAAATTGAATACAATGTACCCGGCAGACAGATGTAGAGGCTTCTTCCTCTGGGACCTGGGGGGAGGGGTTATTCATCAGACCAGCCCCCCCCCGCCCCCCAAGTACCCCCAGAGCTGTAGGCCCAAGGCCTGTGTTTAAGACGCTCCGAGAAGGGAGGCGGGAAGGGCGGAGACACTCCAGGCTGGCGGAAATGGCGCAAGCACAGACGAAGGTTTAGGGCGGAAATGAACTGTAAGGCGCATTGTCGGAAGTCGTTCTGCCCCGAACCGGTAGTTACTCGGTTATGCCTCCGGAGGGAACTGGGAACTTAAGACAAAGGTTCCTCCATAAACCGGAAGACAGGATGAGAAGCCGAAGGCGGGGTAAAAAAGGAGGGCTATTTGGAGGTTTACCCCTGTCCTCACTCAACTGGGAGGAGAAAGGGCATGGTTAGGTGATGGATGGAAAGATAAAAAGATAAAGAAAAGAGGGGAGGTAAAGATAAGATAAAAATCATAGTGAAAATGCAAAACCAAAACCACAATTAAACCGAGAACAGGGATAGATCAGTAGAGAAAAACGGACACGATAAGACATAAAAAGACAACTGTAACTGTAGCACAGGGCAAATGAGATAAGAGAGATCATTACAGAAATTTGGACTTTGGAAACATGTAGGAAAAGATGGAGATAGAGGGGAGAGAAAAGAGAAGTCCAGTACATCTCTTTTCCAGCACGCGTCGCATGATAACATCCTTACCTTCTCACCCCATTTTCATTCCCTCTGAGCCTCCTCTGAGACCACTGATCAAGTTCTCCTCCTTCCACCCAAATACTCCCAAATATTCCTCCCTTCTCAGTCTCTATTCCCATCCCTAGACTTTGGTGACTGGAAAGATCCTACACCTGTAGAGAAGTTAACCGGCAGGTTTGGACCTGGTCTCTGCTGCTCCCAGGCGGTCCTTTTGGGTACTGCCTGAGAGAGAGGTAGGAGAGGAGGACCATCATCAGTGGGAGGATCAGATTGGGGGAGACAACCAATGCAGGAGACTGAGTGAAAAGGGGAGCACTAAGACCCAGGGGTAGTGGAGGACTGCAGCAACGAGCTGGAGGAGGAGTAGCAGTAGGCATTGGGGGTGGGGGAAGCCATCTGATACCTTGGTCCCCTACGAAACAGCATCAGCTCTAAGGACGGAAATGGCCAGTCAGTCCCAGGGTATCCAGCAGCTCCTGCAAGCTGAGAAGCGGGCTGCTGAGAAGGTAGCAGATGCCAGAAAGAGTGAGTCGCCTCTCCCTTAGAAATCTGGAAGGAAAATAAGGGATGGAGATTAGCAAACTCAAGGCTTTCAGGTCGAGAGCTGGGTGCTGAATGTTGGTTAGGAGGGAAGAAATCGGTGGGTATTAGAATCTAACACTTGGTTTGGCTGAGAGAAGGCCAAACAACTTTCTGGAAGGGATTGACCCCTAATATCACAGTTGGTGGGGGATCCATCCTATCCACTGTCTTTTCTTCTACCTCCAGGAAAGGCTCGGAGGCTGAAGCAGGCAAAGGAAGAGGCACAGATGGAAGTGGAGCAGTACCGCAGAGAGCGAGAGCAGGAATTCCAGAGCAAGCAGCAGGCGGTGAGTTGTGGGGTGGGGGGAGTTTGGACAGCACCCACCCAGTTGCAAGTTGGTAGGAGCATGTTGTGAGGTGTGTACAAGTGACTAGGCAAGAAAATACTATGGTAGAGGGCTTAGGGGACTCTGGCAAGGCTCATAGTGTTGGTAAAGCTTTGAGATGATATGTAAGAGAGTGGCAGTTTGAAGGACATGAACAGCTTGGGGGCCAGGGGAATCTCCACAATCTGTGTGGGGTATGATAACATTTAGGGTGAGGGCAGAGTTTTATGGTCAGGGGTGGTGAGGTGGTGGAGACTTTACAATCCCTGTTTTAGGATGAGGTTGCATGTCTGTTCTTAGAGAACAGGGGATTGTGTTGATCTCTTTGATATCTGGTTATTTCTGTGGGATGGGGACAGTTTCTGAAAAAGCCTTTCTTTTTGGCTTGCTCAGGATCTTCCTCTCCACATGCCTGGACCTTTCTCTGTTCTGCTTTTGTCTTTCTCTCCTCCACCCCTTTTCCCATCCCCCAGGCCATGGGCTCCCAGGGGAACCTGTCAGCTGAAGTGGAGCAGGCCACAAGGCGCCAGGTACAGGGCATGCAGAGTTCCCAGCAGAGAAACCGGGAGCGTGTCCTGGCCCAGCTTCTTGGCATGGTCTGCGATGTCAGGCCCCAGGTCCACCCCAACTACCGGATCACTGCCTAGGATCGACCATGGGGTCTGACTCCTCCAGCCAGTTCTCCTCCTCAAAGAAATCTCCCAAGTCAAATCACCTTCCCTTGCCTAGCATGCATAAGCCTTGGGTTCAATTCCTAGTGCCACCAAAAGAAAAAAAAAAATCAACTCTCCATTCTTTGGAAAATCTGGGAACCAGAATCCAATATTCTCCTGTGAAACTTGTAAATATTCTGCTCAAACCTGAATTTATTTATTTTTTTCAATTTATGTTTTTTAATCCTCACTGGATCCTTGTAAGTACCGAAGTCATTCCCTTCCTTCATGTGAAGGGTGGAACATGGAGAAGTAGGGACATGGAAAGCCCCGTGACTTCAGAAAATGGCAGATTTGAGTTCCTTTCTCAACCCTGCCACTTGTTGACCATGCAATTGGGACAGGCTACTTAATCTGGAATCCTCAATGTTCTCCTCTGTAAAAACTGAAATAATAATGCCTACCTTGTGAGATTGCTTCAACAATTAGGAATCATTCTGTAAAGAGCTTAACATAGTTCCTGACAGGTAGTAGTTATTATTCAATAAATGGCACTCCTGTGACATTATTCCCACCTCTGTTCACCTACCAAAACCTAAATACTGCTGTTTCCTGACTTCTGCCAGTGACTCTTTAATTTTACTCATTTCATTCTGTATCCCTAATAATTCTCTGAAGAATTGTTCTTCTTACCTTGCTTTCCCCAGAGACCTTATGGTCTCTGAAAAGAGTAAATGAACTGGGCCCAGTGGCATATGCTTGTAATCCTAGCTACTTGGGAAGTTGAAGCAAAAGGATTGTGAGTTCTGGGCCAACCTTGGCAACTTAGTGAGACCTGTCTCAAAAATAAATAAATAAATAAATAAAATAAAAAAATAAAAGGCTGGGGATGTAGCCTGGCAACATAGAGACACTAAGTTCAATCCCCAGTATGGCCCTTCCCCCCCCGCAAAAAATACTTAATTTAGCCCCTCTATTATGTTCCAGGTAGCTATGGCATCTCTCAGCTTCTCTTTTTGTATCACTTAAGATGGCCTTTCTCTTTATTGGATTCCCCTCTCTTTCTGTTTCCCCAAAGACTACCAGATGCTCACTGCTTCCTGAGATCTAAAGTGATATGTATCCCCCCATATGCATGACTTTCCTTTGTGTATCCTTAACACCTTGCTCTCCCTTTGTAACAATAAGAAAGGGTCAATAAAATAACTAAGAGCAAATCAGTTGGTGAGTTGAGCAGCCTCCTTTTGCCTCACTCTCTTGTTCCTTTTCAGTCACTCTCTTATTCCATGTGCACATATTCTCGAAACACCAAAAGAGCTGTCCTTCGAAACTTTCTGGAGAAAAAAAAGCAAATGGCACTTCATTATTTCTCTAAAGTGCAGAGAAACACATGTGTTTCTTTGCTTTGGAGTCTGAGGATTAGAGACAACAACTGGAAGAGAAAAACTGGAGTGTAGGAATAAGCACTCTTTCCCCTTTTCCTTGTTTTGCACTCAAGAGTTGACATTATATGTTTATGTGTTGTTTCCTCTGTTATGTAAACTCTGAGCACAGGGCTGTTCACTGCTGTGTCCCCAAGTCCTAGGATAGTAGTTGGCACAGGGCAGGCAGTTGATAAATACTGTGAAATAAATTAAATAATACTTAGGACTCAGAAAACTGCTCTTCTGTGATACCATCCTATGATTATTTCTCTTCACCACAGAGGATAAGCTTGCTTGTCAAGGCCTTGAACTAATGAGGTAATAATCTATACTGTGTTTATTAACAAGATTCTTTAAGCAGAGAGGCAGGATATGATAGAGAATTAGAGATGTTTACATCTTGGCTGTTACCTTAATAGATGTATTTTTTTTTTATCATTTTTTAGTTGTAGTTGGACACAATATCTTTATTTCACTTATTTGTTTTTATGTGGTGCTGAATATTGAACCCAGGGTCTCACATGCGTGAGGCGAGCACTCCATCGCTGAGCCACAACCTAAGCCCCTACTAGATGGTTTGCTTTGAATATTTGATTTACTTCTCTATTTGCTTAGCTATAAAATGGGGATAATAGTAGCTACTTCTTAGGGTTAAATAAAGAGGGGGATGTCAAATGTTTTAGGAAAAAAAATCCAGGCTGAACAATAGGTCTGTTGGGGTGGGGCTAAAAAGCATTCTGCTCTAATGAACAATATTAGAAAGCTTTACAACCAACCCTCAAGCCCTACTATTTATTTTTTGTAACTGGCAGAATCTAGATCTTGTTTTTTTTTTTTTAAAGAATTTTTTTTTTTTTTTTTTTTTTTAGTTGTAGATGGATACAGTATTTTATTTATTTTTACTTATGTGGTGCTGAGGACTGAACCAGTGCCTCACGCATGTGAGGCAAGCACTCAACCACTGAGCTACAGCCCCAGACCATAGGTCCTATTGTTAAAGAGCTGGGGCCTTCTGAGAAACTGAGGCAGCATGAAGACCCTCTTGTCAAACCCAATTCTTGTGATCAAGTCAGAAAGATTTCAGATATGTAGCTCAGAGTAACAAGAATGAGTTTATTGAAATGATAGGAAAAGGGAAAGGGGACACTCTCAAGGGAGAGAGTGGGTCCTCTCAGAGTGAAGACAGACAATATGCCCCTCCTGCACTACAATTTATTGGGGGTTGGGGTGGGCAGGGAAGTTTCCTAAGAGTTCTGTCCAGGTCTTGACTTTTGACTGACAGCAGAGTGACATCAAACTTTCAAATCTTCATTGCATAACAATTCTCACCTTGGCCCAGGCAGAATTCTAATTGGTTCTAATTAGATTCTTCATCAATTCTAATTGGTTCTAATTAGATTCTTCATAATTTGGAGGAATTATCCTTATCTTCTATAATCTGGTCTGTGAAAAGGGTCACAAATGTCTCTCCCTTCACAGTAACTTGGGTTCCTCTTGTAAATGCATTTCCTTACAGATAACAGGTAGTTTGCTGAGGAATGCGACATAACCAGTTCACTTAGGCCAGTCACTTAGGCCAGGCACGGCTGCAGATAAATTGCTTTTTGGCAAAGAAAGCATGTCGGGGTCAGCAGAGTGGGCTCATTTTATAGTACTCTCTTAAACTCGTGTTCCCACCATCCTCATTTGTTTGTCCCCTAAGGCTGTGTACCACTGGGCTGACACATTCCTTATGTACTAGCCTACTTCATCAAACATCATTTTGGGAAAATACTACCTTACGTCCTCATAGCTGGGAAAGGCACGGAGTATAACCCTCAAGCACAGCTCACTCCAGTCTCCTGACACTTGCCCACCCTTCACCTGGAGTCAGACATTTCTTAGCGCAAACCCACCGTCTCCAGGTCACCTTGACTACCAGGCCAAGGACCCCGTGGGAACTCACATCCCCTGCCGCCCTCGTTCCTCTCGCGCCCACGGAGGTATGCCCAGAGAGAAGACCTGCTTGGCAGAAACGTAAACGAAGAGACGAGGGGCGTGAATAGGAGTGGACAAATAACAGCAGGAAGAGAAGTTAGTCTCCTTACGTCTTGATTTTGGCAATAACGGAGGAGTTAGAAAGGCCTTTAACATTTTTTCTGACAGGCGTTTTCCAAAGGCAACCCCAGAGCGCGCGGAGATAAAGAACAGCGAAAGGTCCTTCTTCCGGCACCATGCGCCTGCGCTCTGGCAGCCGAGACGGCGGGAGGCTAGGGTTGAGGGAAGCCTGGAACCGGAAGTGAAGAGAGATTCCCTCCCTCGTCGCTCTTGCTGCCGCCATACGCGCTCGCCCTGCTCTGGTAAGCTTTGGCCTTTGCTACCATCCGCCTCCATCTGCGCTTCTCCCTGGTCATCCTATCACATGGATTCTTGATACCCCTTCCACAAGCGATGATCTGGTCACTGGGGCCTGGTTGGGTAGTTATTTTCTTTGTTTCTACTCTTTTCGAGAGCGCCGAGCTCCTAGGGGGAGGCAGGGAAACAAGGGGGGCACAATCCAAGATGGTGGCCCAGGCGCCATTGTGCCCCTTTTGCTCCCAGCTCTTCCAGTAGGTCCCTCGCTTCCCGAGGCCCCAGCGACGTCGAGAGGCGGCGCTAGGCTTATTCTGGTCCCGGGCATTGGCGGAGGGCGGGGCTCTTCTCACCCCTCTTCTGGGTCTTTGGGCCCCCTGTGGGATGAGGAGGAGGAGCAGGTTTATGGGCCCAGTTGGATTTTTCTCACCTCGATTTACCCACTTTAATTTGGAGGCTTTCCAAATGTTTATTGGTAGTGCCATTGTGTTTCTTAGAAATGTGTCTTGTGGAGGTAGCAACTCAAGAGTGATGTGAGACCACTTGGTGAACATTCTGTTAAAGCTTGTTATATTTCTATCATTAATATATTTTTGATTATGTCTTCTGGTGTGTGTGTGTGTGTGTGTGTGTGTAATATATATATATATTGCGGTACTGGTCTTGCTCTACCCTTGAGCTACACCCAAGCCCATTTTTATTTTTTGTTTCTGAGCCATTTCACTTAGGCCTGCTCCTCGGTGTTAATGACATAGGTTTGTTATGCAACTGAAGGAGGGTACTTAGGCGCGAGATACTGGAGAGGTGTAGGAGGTGATTGGCAGCCACATGATGTTTTCATTTCGAGAAGTGAGCGCTTTGCGCAGTGCTGACCTTAATCTATCACCCTTGACTGATGGCTGCTGTTAGGAATGGACACCATGAGATTATAAGGAAACTTATTTAGTCATAGTCACCTTTTCATGATCTGTTTTTTTTTTTTTTTTTCATTGTTATTTACAATTACAAATGTATGCATTGGTCTTCCCCTGTCAAACTAACTGGTTCTGCTACTGTGAGCTCAATGTTTTTGGGAACAATATTCCCTGAGACCACTTTTTTCATTATATTTGTCTTTTATTTTTATGTTTTATATCTGTTCCTTAACAGATAAAGGGTTCACAGTTCAGGGAAAGTAGAAAGTGTGGCAGTGGGAAAGAGGTGGTGAAAGTCTGCTAGTGACTGATAAGTTTTTTGTCTGTTTTCCCCACTCAGCTCTTCTATCAGAAACTAGTACCTTTTCTTTTGCCCTTTATCAAGCCCCTCTCTTTCCCCTTGTTTTCACCTGTTCTGGGAGAACTCATCGAGAGACCCCTCCCCTTCTCCCCCTGCCGGCTCAATTATGGCAGAGAATGATGTGGACAATGAGCTCTTGGACTATGAAGATGATGAGGTGGAAACGGCAGCTGGGGGAGATGGAGCTGAGGCTCCTGCCAAGAAGGATGTCAAGGGCTCCTATGTCTCCATCCATAGCTCTGGCTTTCGGGACTTCCTGCTCAAGCCAGAGTTACTCCGGGCTATTGTTGACTGTGGCTTTGAGCATCCATCAGAAGGTAAATTTTCTGTTGGTCATAGAGTATACATTAGGCTCTTTAGGGATACAAAGAAAAGGATTATTCATTAGGCTCTTTGGGGATACAAGGAAAGGATGTGCTTATGATTCCTCAGGTGGTAATGATTTATGTTTGGACTAGACCAGGAAATAAGTACCAAAAAAGATCTTAACATTAGAAGAGGCTGTGTAGGCTTTTCTTTCATGATAGCATGAAAGTGTTAGTGATCCAAAAACAATTTAGAAGCTTACTTTTTATTTTTGTGTCTGGTTTTTCTTGTTTGCTTGTTTTTTAACTTTGTTATTTTGACCATTAATTTTAAATTTCCAGGGGCTGGGGTTGTGACTCAATAGTAGCCTGCTCGCCTAGCATGCGTGAGGCACTGGGTTCAACTCTCAGCACCACATACAAATAAATAAAATAAAGGTCCATCAACAACTAAAAAATATTTTTAAAAAATTCTCAAAA